GCATAATGCAGAGTGAATTTTTAGCTGAAACTTTCTCAAAGATACTCAAAATAATGTACTATAGCCTATTGATACTATTTAAATGTTGCAAATCATTTAAAATAATTCAAAACTTAGTAAACTTCTTTCAATTTAATGATCGTCAAAATGATCGACAAAAAAATTCCTCAATAAGGGCCTACAATATAGTGGTTTCACTATGTTTGTGATTAGGCCGATATCGCACACCCCAACATCCCATGTTATTACAAATTAGTCCATATGGATTTGCTGATTTAATTAATTCAATTGAAGAATATAAGTTAGTAAAATTTATTAAAGTATTGATTATTGTTCTGAAGATTTTGAATGGTAAAAGAGAAGTTTTATTAATAGTTATAATGAATGAAAAATATACTGTACATACCGTATATTGAAATATAGAATATGCATCATCCAATTATATGTATGATCTAAATATTTTTGTAATAGGTTGTGTAATTATAAAATTTATAATTACACGTAATAAAAAAAAGTGTGACACGGGTGGTGAAATATCATGTGATTTTTTGTGGCACGTAATCTTACAATGCGCAGTATCGCAAATAATACAAGTAGATTGTTTGCAATAAAATTTTTTGCAAAAATGTCCAAAGAAAATGAAGACATTTTTTATTTGATATTTAAAATTTACAAGATAATAAAAAAGTCCTTTGTTCATCTTTTTCAGTCAATAAAACATTGTGTGAAAATTTTGTGGAAAAATCCTTGAAAGTACTTTATACTTAACGTATGGATTTATTATTGCATAAAGTAATACTTTCACACTTCCTTTAAACATCAATTTTTGGTCAATCATTTGCTCATATTTGGCATGTTGACCATTTATTGGCGGCGGCGATTATCATAATCACGTAAGGCTAACCGTGCGTGGCACAATGTCAGCCAATCATATCTGTTTATATTAAACATGAAATATACAGATTTACGATTTTCGTTGAAGTGCGTACGTAATCGTACAATGTTACACAGACATATTTATGTAATATAAACGATCATTTCAGTAATAAAAAAAAAAAAAAATATTTTTTCGCAAAGATGTCCAAGCTAAATAGAGATATTCTTTATCTAGTATTTGAAGAATTTCAAGATGATATAAAGGCCCTTTATTCATCACTTTCGGTCAACAAAACATGGTGTGAAATAATCGTTCTAATTTTATGGAAAAATCCTTGGAAGTACTTAACGAATAAAAATGAAAACTTATTATTTAACGTAATTATTTCACACTTATCGGACGAGTCAAAAAATAATTTAATAAATCATAATATTGAATTATTCACAATTTTTTCTCAAAAACCTTTATTTAATTATATCAGTTTTTGTAAACATTTAAATTTAAGTTCGATTGATAAGATAATAAATACTATTAAATATTATTGCACGGAATCGAGTATGTCAATTTTAAAAAATGAAATATACAATCTTTTTATTAATGAAAATACAAAGTTTACATATCTTTATATACCCCAACATTTTGATTATCAAATTCACCTTATTCCTGGAGCTAAACACTGTTTTTCAGAAATTATATTCCTTAGTTGTAATATCGGAGTAAATGACAACGTTTTAATTGGATTAGCAGGAATATGCCAATCAATTAAAGAATTGGAACTTTTTGTTGAAAGCAAAAACAGCAAAAACAGTTATGGGATTACTAAATTAATTGATGCCTCTAAAAAATTAATTGATGTTCGTCTATTAACCGCCAATACTGGATTAGTTAATGTTCCAATCATAAATAATATATACTATGTTGAAGAATCATTAAAACCATTTCATATAATTCTTGAAAATTCATTAATGAAACATGCACATACTATACAATACTTTATGATAACTGCACCACCTGCCACAAGAATTCTTTCATCTTTAGTAAATTTAAAAAAATTGGAATTAAGAATTGATAATCACAATGTAAAGTTGGATTTCTTAGAAAATGTATCTTTATCTTCATTACGAATTTTAAAATCTAATATTTTTCAAATCAAATTTTTAAGAAATTTAATTCTTAATACAGATAGAAGTCTTACCAAAATAAGCATTGATAATAAGCTTCATAATGAGATTGATAATAAAAATATTATTAAGGCTATTTATCAAAATTGTCCAAATCTTATTTACCTTAAATTAATGTTTAGAAATGAAAATATTTTAGAATTAGAACAATTATTAATTAATTGTCAATATTTAATTGGATTATATTTTCTTATTATAAACATATTTAATTGGGATAAATTATTCGAAATATTAAACATATCATCACCAACTAGTTTATTTAAATTTAAGTTTAATATTATTTCTCATGAATCAATTAATCTAGAGTCCTTAATATTATTTATTAATAATTGGAAAGGAAGACATCCCATGTTATTACAACTTGATTCATATGGATGTACTGATTTATTTGATTTGATAGAAGAATATAAATCAGAAGGAATTATTAAGAAATTTAATTATTTACATAGAGATTTTGAAGATTTTGAATGGTAAATTTATTAAAATAATTTAAAATAAATTAAATGTTTTTTATTGTATGTTATAGTTTTATTATATTTATGTATAATCATTAAAAGATTTATTTATGTAATATCAATTTTCATTTTTTTTTTATTTAAAATAAAAGGTATTTTATTTGATTGATTCAATTCCTAAATTAATCTTTGACACAAATCATACAACATTTTCAAAAATCCTTACAACTTTTGTAAATTTAAAAGAATTAGAATTGGATGGTAGTTATCATTATCCATGGAATTACTTAGAGAACTTATCTTTACCTTTATTACAAACTTTAAAACTAGAGCTATTCTAGTAGAAATATTAGTAAGTTTAATTGAAAATACAAATGGTCATCTTAACAAAATAAGTATTGATTGCATATCTTATGAAGAGATTATTAATAAAATTATTCAGGTCATTTATCAAAAATGTCCAAAACTTAAGTATCTTAAATTAATCCCTATTATAAGTGAAAATATCACAGAGTTTGAAAATATATTAATTAAGTGTCAATATTTAGATGAATTGTTTATTTCAGTTGATAATTTGTTTGATCCAAGAGAATTATTTGGAATATTAATTAGATCACCAATTGGTTTGTTTAAGTTAAAGTAATATTATTAGGTTATGATATACATTGGTTTTTTATGGGATGAAATGTAAGTGTTAGAGATGTCATACGTTGTAGCAAGAGAATTGCACATTTCCATGATATAATAATTTGACTTTAGTCAGTTTTTCAAATATATCAATTAACCTGATAACATCATAAAAACGTTGTTGCTCATAAAAGTACTACAAGTCTACAACGAAGATAACTCATTTCAGAAAAACATTGGCTTGCTCCAGGAATATCATGTATTTGAAAATCAAAAAAAAGTTTGAAAAGTTCATTTTGAAAGATAGAAAATTCATGTTTTTCGGGTTTCACGAAAATCACGTGATGTGTTCGACAGTTGATTGGTTTGTTTTTGATATTTAATCCATTCCAAATTAATTTTAGTTTAACATCCTCTTTTAAAATAATTTAAACACATCTTTAAAGCACCCCCTCTCTTTTCTGAAATTGGATGTACCGAATATATCCGATTTTACCGCAAACTTCCGAAAATTTTAATATGTTTAAATATTATGTTTGTTTAAATTATTCCCCCCCCCCTCAAATTTTTCAGCCAGAAAGGATGTTAAACTAATGATTAGTTTGGAATGGCCTTATTAACACAATTAATAATTATTCAGGATATGAAAAATTAATAAATTATGCATAATATATAATATTTGTAAAATTCCGTTTCCAGGAACAAAGTTTCCTTAAAATTTATCAAATTTATTTGAATATGAACGTTTTGATATTATCGTAATTCAATTTAATTTCAAATCTAAGGCTAAGCCAATACTGCTTAAACGAGAATTATTATTATAAAAAAAAAATTATTATAATCGATTTGTATAATAACAAAGTTTATCTATCAATACAGGAATTATTTTTGGACATATTTAATTCATTAATTGATTTGCATTTCTGTTAAACAATCTAAAACATTATTACTTACAGACAAGTATCGCAACTAAGGTTGTATTTTCATCATAAATTGAAATAATCACTTAGATTACGCCAAATTTTACTAACTAGAAGACATCTCTATTTAGCCTTGACATTTTTAAATGGAAAAAAAAGTTGTGAAACATAATGAATAGTTTAATGAGCAATAACACATTGGTATTACATAAATATTAAACTAATCGGAGATAATATAACGATTATAAAGAATTAAAAAATAGTTGCTTCTCAAAGACCATTAGTCCATTACTCTAAAATAGGTATGATGAAAAAACCAACATATTATGTTTGGGATATCAATGCTCTAATTCACTTTACATGTGCAAATAATGTAAATCTAGGAACAACGCAATTATATAGTTCTAGGTACAACTATTTTGGATAATATTATTATATAAATCGTTAACATAATAATTACCACTGCCATAAGTTATGCCCTTGATACGATTATCTATAAACTTCGATCCTAAAAGTACAAAAATACAATGATGACGCCAACAATATTGTTATGTTCCTGCAATTATTAGGTGCGAGTTAAAACTTACTTCAGACCTGTCCGGATACCTTGGCAGGTGAATTATAACTCATGGATATTGTTTGATAAGTAAAGTTAACCAAATTTTTTGACATGTATCAATTGTACCATGTAAAATTTGCTATCATAAAAATAAAATTATGCTTTTATTTAATAAAATTAACATTGCCAATAGCAGTAACTGATACTTGAAATTCCTACATTGTTGCTATATAATGCAATTACAAATAAAATATAAAAATACAATATTAATATAATAACTGATAAGATAAAAGTCAACAAGCAATAGGTATTTCTATTCAAAGCATCTAAAATTTCTCAAATAAGTAACCATTGATGTTCACCTCCATTTATTCTAAAGATGAAAAAGAAGTCTAGAGCATTCCTTAACTTTACAGGTAGTAGCATTTGAAAGGAGATTTTTTAACTCTTTGTATTGTTCTTCAGTTAAAGCCTCCGGATAAATAAAATATTCTCTTGTTTAACCTTGCACTAGTTTTTTTTCTACTTTTCTAGTTTTGCTTAGATTTTAAATACACTACAGCAAATAACCGTTCTGTAAAAGCATTGACGGCTGAATTAGTCTTCCCAACAACTTGCACAATCTCTGAAGGTAATGGATCATGTCATGTCCTGATACGGTCATAATTATGGAAATGAACCTTCAAGAATGTCTGCTCTATATCTTGGTGGTCTGGGTTTACCAACATCAGCAAGGCAAATCCACCTTTTTACCGGCTCTCCCCTATAGATATTACTTTTCGTAAGGTTAGATCCCACTTTAAAATAATCCTCAAATAGTCTTATCTGTTAGTATATTATAAATAAAATTTTCAATATATCCAATATAATATCTACAATTATATATAATATTTGGCTGTTTTCCTCCTGTATTGGTCTTGTGGAGAAAATGATATTTCCAAGACAAAGCATTTGCGTCCATCATTTGACAGGCCTGGTCCTTTAAGCCGATATAATTTGGCTTGATTTCGCTTGATTGTGGATTTCCATTCCTCCAAGTCATTTAGATGCTTAATTTTGAGATTCCTATCGGGATTGGTCCAGTCAAAAATTAGGAGGGTCCCGTTCCTTCCAGCATATTCGATAGCTTAATCAATATTTGGTGTAATGTATAGTCCTCTCCAAATTCTTTTCTTAAAGAACCTTACACTTTTAGATTCTTGAAACGACTCTTCTAAAATCATTTTAGTATGGTTGGTTATTCCTAGTTAATATGCAATTTTTTTTTAATTATTCAGCAAATATATATGTTATGTTATGGTTAAACGGTTAAAATTTTGTTTATGTGCGTCATGATTACTATGCTCAAGAATCGGATATCGGAATAATGTCAATATCAAGAAGACATGTCATTTTTATGATATTTAATTTTTTTTTTTTTAAAAAAAAAAAATAAGTTTAAGTTTGAAAGTTTTGACTTAATGATATCATGGTGAAGTATGCAAAATTATAAATCATCTCATCATTGTTATACATATTTAGTAAGGTTAAATCACAATTTATAAATTATTTAATTATAAATATGATAAATAATGTTATATTAATCTAATAGTTAAATTTGTACTTAATAGTATAATTAATGATTAACAATTTAAGCTACCAAATTTTATTGGCCATAGTTACCCCGGATATTACCCCGGATAATGTTAACCTTGTATAACTGCAAAATTTTTGCTGTGGATCGTATCACTATCATATTAAAATGTTTTCCTTCAAAAAAAAAAAATGATAATTAGTAAAAAAAAAACTAAATAAAAAAAATTATGAAATAAAAAAATTATGGAAATTGGTGCTTACCATGGTACCAAGTGTCTCGAGAAACCCGAATTGAATCAAAAAAAAATGAAAAAAGTAAAAATATCTAAATAAAAAATCATGAAACAAAAAAAAAAATATAAAGATCGATTCTTACTGTTACCCGATCTGGATCTAAAAAAAAAGATGATAAAAAAATAATTTAGTAAAAGAAATTAAATAAAAAAAATTATGAAATGAAAAAAACAAAATTTGGCGCTTATCATGGTACTGCAGGAGTAAGAGTGCTAGCCAATACGTGAGTTCCTGACCCCAAGGGACGAAAAAAATTTTTTTAATACTAAGAACATGAAAATTAAAAAAAAAAACCAAAATGTAGCTTATCGTAGTTAGGGTGTCCAGGATGGGTCGTCGTGATAGCGCAAAAATCGCGTGATTTTCATGATTTTTTCGCAAATTCGCGATTGGCTGAAATTAACGTAATTTCGGCCTAATTTCTAAAACCGCGACATAATTTTAGCCGGAATTATTTTGGCCAGAATTTCAGCAAAATTATAATCACATGGTTATCCAGCCATCCAATCAGATTTAAATATCATGAAAATCGTGAAATTTTATGATAAAATCGGGATAAACCCGTCCTGGACACTTAATCGTAGTACTGCAGAACCTAAAAAATATATAAAATAATTTGCGAAATGAAAAGAAACGCTTACCATAGTGCCGCAACGCTGATTTGGACCTGAAAGATGAAAAAGAATATTTTTTTAGTAAGATCAAGAAAAAGGACGTGAGAAAAATCATGTGACCACTCACCGGAATCAAGGATGGGTTAATTTGTATATCCCACATTTTTCAGAAAAAAAAAATTATTGTGTGATTTTTGATCGAGTGGGTGGGCATGGGCCATATTAGGTTCATTTCATTTCGTTTCGATACGAAATGCTCAAATAAACTATCGATATTCAATATTGTACTATTGATATCAATATTGTACGATAATGAAAATATTAGTCAAGTAAAATTATCATGATCCTATTGTTAATAGTACATATTTGTATATAACTACTAAAATCATATCTATCCTATATGAAGAAAGATGTTGGAAAATGGACAATTTTCACATGATTTTTTTTTTATTGGCATTTATGAAAAACGAAATGAAATTTTTTTATTTAAAGTTTTATTATAACGTAAATAAATATTACCTCGTATAGAAAATTATTATTTACTTAATTATTATGCTGACTAGTGTTTACATAAAACGAATACAATAATTATAATTATGGTTTATTATATGTTTGAAGTTCATAAGTTAAACAGAGCTTTTCGAATCTGATTCATTTTACCAACGATCATTTCACCGACAGTCATTCCATTGACAGTTTTGAAATCCTAATCCACTTATCCTATAATCTTATTCTAATCCTAATCCTATCTAACTCTAATTCTAAATTCTCTTGTCAGGCGAGATGATGATCGTCGGCGGCGAAACATTTGTTTGCGAAATGATCCTGTCGGTGAAACGTTTGACAATGAGATAATTGTCGGAATGCGTCCCGTTTTTTTTCCACTTTTTTATTACTTTAAATCATACTCCCTTCCGTTAATAAAATATTAAATAATAAATTCTAGATTTACCGTGTATAGTATTAAAGCATTATGAAATTTGAAAAAAATGTACATTTAGAGAGGATATGTATTTATAGAGAAAAATTATATATAATCTATATATATAAAATTATTTATTTTGATCAGTGGCGCATTACAGGTTGTAGGCTGTCATATGATATGATGGTATCGGGAAAACATTTTGACCGAAAAATAATCTCCGACCTGAGTTATTCATAATACTGCATAATGTAGTAATGTACCCTATTTTTCGGCGAAACGTAACCGTCATATGATTTAGTATTTGCGCTTTTATATTACACTTAGCGTTCATTAAAATGAACTATTATGCATACTGAGTAACAAATTTGATTTGTAACCACATTTTCTATTATTAATATAATTTAATATTGTTATTAAATTAAATTCTTATCGTATATAATATTAATAATACATTATCTTGATAACTTTAAATATTAGTAATTCTTCACTTAAATATTAAATTCATACATATTACATCTTTGTAAAACTCTTTCTTTACTCAATAGGAAGAAATAATGTTTTAAGATAATGAACACAACATCTTTGTTTCATGTTGTATTTAAATTTAAAAAAAAAATAAAAATAAAAATAAAAATTTCAATAAATATTTATTTATGTAAATAAATTATAAATAATTATTTATTATTTAAAAAGTTAAATATAAATTCGGTTTCGTGCATATCATTTTAAAATTAGATGAACTTTTTACTTTTGGGAATTCTATATAAAAAAAAAGTCATAATTACTGCGCCACGACAAATGTATAAAATAAAAACAAATATGCAATATATTATAATATATTATTCAATCAACTTCTTACATTGTGTTATAAAACAATTAATAAAAAACTTATACATATACATATATTCTTTTACTTATTGTTTATATTGATTTGACATTTATCATAAGAAAATTGTTCTTCATATTTGATTTTTTTATTATTATCTTTGTTTGGAATTATTAAGCCTTTTAACGGTTAAGCATTGTCACCAATTTTGTTCCAGTCATGATCGTCGTCGATTGAAATTAAACTTGTGCCACATTAAGGTTGATGAGGATTTGTGATACCAGTAAGGTATGATCAACGTATATAAAAGGAAAGTTAACCACATTAGAAATTTTGATTCTCATAACTTTTTTTCGGCAATAAAAAAAAAAAAAGAAATTTTTTTTTTTTCCCCACTTTAAAAAGAAACAAAAATACGATGACAAATCTCAACAAAGATGTTCTTATTTATATTTTTGAAGAATTAAATGATGATCAAAAATCTTTACATTCTTGTTTATTAGTTAATAAATTTTGGTGTGAAACGGTAGTTCCAATTTTATGGAATGACGTATGGAAATTTTTTGAAGATCCTTACGAAGATGAAGAAATTAGTGAAAGAATGATAGAAAAATATAAATCGCTTTTTAAAATAATTCTTTTATATCTTCCAGAAAAATCAAGAAATTTCTTAATTAATCAAGATATTAAAATAATTTTAACAAAAGAAAAACCATTATTTAATTATATAATTTATATTAAAAGTATAAAATTAAGTCATATTTATATTTTTGCTAATAAAATTCTTGGATTTGATAATATTGAAGAAACAGGATATCAATTATTTGCTTTTGAACAAGAATTATTTAAATTATTTATGAATAATTGTTCATCATTGAATTATTTGGATATGTTTTATTCAACTCATCATTTAAAACATCAATTACAAAATTTTCCTGGAGCAGAAAATTGTTTATCTAGACTTTATGAATTAAGATGTAATGCTAGAAATGATCAATCATTCTTTTATGGTTTGGCTCAAATTTGTGATTCAATTAATAAGTTTATAATTGAAGATTTAATTGATAATCCTGGACTTGCAAGATTAATTAAAGTACAAAAAAAGATTCAAGTCGTTGATTTTGATCATCAATCTGATGAAGATGATGATGAAAAATTTCTTCAAGATGATTTAAAAAGAATTGGTACAGCTTTAAAATTTCATGCTATTAATTTAAGAGAACTTAGTTTGGATTTTTGTTCTAAAAATTCTTTTATATCTTATATTCTTGAAAATTCTATTAATTTACAAAAATTGGCATTAAGTAAAAATATACCTAATGAAATAATAAATGAAAATATTATTATAAGAAATCCATGTTGTCCTAAACTTCATACTTTATTATTATATTTTGTTTCAATTTCATTAGCTATTAAAATAATTGAAAAAGTTCAAGGAAATCTTTGTAAAATTGGAATATATTTTGTAACTTATGATATTGAAAATTCTGGTAATTTTATTAAAACAATTTATCAAAATTGTTTAAATATAGAATATGTTACAATTATTATGAAAAATTCTGATTTTGATGAATTAGAAAATTTATTAATTAAATGTCATCATTTAAAAGGTATCATTTTTGAATCAATTTATGAAGGTGAAGATATTAATATGGTTGATGGTAATAAATTATTAAATTTATTAATTAAAAAATCTTCAAATAATTTATTTAAGTTAGGTTTTTATTTTAATTGGAAATTTGATTATAATACTTTAGATTCTTTTTTTTCAAATTGGAAAGGTAGAAAATCTTTATTATTAGAAACTGGTGAAAAGAATAATTTTTTATTAAATTATCCTGGATTAATTAAAAAATATGAAAGTATTGGTGTAATTAAAAGTTATAAACATCAAGATGAATTATGGAATAGTGTTTATATTAAAACTGTATTAGATTAACTGTAGTGGTGCTGGAGTGTAAAAGGCGTGATGGGCGTGTACGTATGTAATGCGATTATATAAGCGGGTGTAATAGTGTAATATATATATAATATATATAACAAAGCAAATCATAAATAAATATATATATTACAGGAAAATCGCGTATATCCAACCAAATCTTTATCTAAAAATAAATTTTTCGTTTACTAAACTGTTAATAAACCAAATATAAATATCTCTGCAATAAATAAAGCAATTCAATCATTCTGCGTATTCGATTATATAACCGTAACACGAGGTAGTGTTAGCTCATAACGCCACGTCGCCACGTTTGCAACGTATGCATATGCAATGACGCTACACAAACTTTTCTTTTTTTTTAAATTTATTCTTCTGACCATAATATAACTTTTTAGCAAGTGGCCTCTTTTTACTGAGTAAATATTGTAATAATTAGAGTAATTTTTAAATGAGAATTTATTTAATTATAATAAGACTTATACCTCTACGAATGATTGTAATAGCCTTTCCCCGACAATATTTGTGATTAAAAAAATTAATTAGTTGAATTAATTAACGAACATTGAATATAAATTGTATATTTAAGCAATCAATAGAATAAATATTATTTATCTAATATCTTTCACAATGGATAAACAAATTCTATCAAAACGTGGATATAATAAATAATAACGTGATTAAATTAAATTCTAGAAAGCAGATACAATGGAGAAGAATAAGATAAAAAAATAACAGCGTTAGCGATGTGCAGGTATGTGGGTGTGTGGGTATTGGGATGTGTTGTGTGTGGGTATGTTTGTTATGTGTATTCTCTCGCTCTTTCCCTCACCTTATTGTCCCATTTCATCCTCTCCCTTCCTTTCCTTTCCCATCCCTTCGTCTTTCCCTTTCTTTTCTTTCCACTCTCCCTTCCCCTCTCTCACCCTCCTTTTCCCCTTTCCCGAGGTCCTGATCAATGTTACTGCGCCTCAACGTCGGTGATCAGGTGGCAACAAGTTTTTTTAAAAAACTTGGCTAAGTCAGCAACATTTCACGTATCTATGAAAATTTTTTATATCCCATGATTCATTAATAGTAGATTAAGATATTAGTATACATCAACTCTCTAGGTTAAATTTTTTTTTTCATTTATTTTTTAATAATATTGAGGTATTAATTGTGTCTATTATTAATGATAATTTAATAAAAAATAGAATTTTAATATATATATACACGAGATATATAATACGGTTCTGATATATAATGAGTGGCATGGGTTATTAAGATTATCCTTTTGATTTGTTTTATTAATGTAGATAAATTACGATAATATAATACCCTTTCTCTTAAAAAATAAAACTTTATAATTAAAAGATCTCAACTTTGCGTTATTTGGGCAGAGTCAAATTATGACAAATAACTCCAGTCATTTGCCATTTATCATTTCGTCCTTACCACTTTTTTTTCATTTTTCATATTATCAACGATCTCTGACATTTGGTGAAGAAAGAAATAGTGAAAATAAACTCTTGATATCTTGAAGCTAACGCGATCCTCACATGTATGTGAAAGTAATCGTGTTGTCCAGTTGATATTCTATAGCTATACCTTCTCGAAGACTAATGAAAAAAAGCCTAATTTATCAAGTACCACCAGGAACTAGCCCCCAACAACTCAAGAATCAAAACAATAAAAATTTTAAAATTTTCCATATTGAGTTTTGGCTTCTCTATACTAGCACCTTAATTACACAATACTAAATAAAAAGAAATTAATTAAGCAATTAATCAATGAAATTTTACGTCTTATAAACTCGTCTGTGCGACATGTCTTAGTATTTATTGAATTGAAAAGGTTTATCATTATAAATTTGTCCTAAATAAATTTGGCAACTTACTAAACTCGTCCTCACCTGTTAGTTCATTAAATAAAAAAAAGAAACCGTTTAATATTAACTTGTTTTATTTATCATTTAATGCGAATTTTCGTGAGGCTATAAATATATTATTTTAAATCAGTTGAATAATGAAACATTTAAAAAATAAATTGAATAAAAAAGAAAGAAAATAAAAAATTAAAAAGCAAGGAAAATAAGTATATTTTCATGGTTACTATGTTAAAGTTGCTTTGTCGAAGAAAAATAAGTTTTTATATTAAAAATACTGTAACAGCTGTATCTTATAAAATATTAGATAAAGATATTACAATTTAATAAATTCAAAATTTGTAGAAGTTAATATTATCATCAGATTTTCACCATCATGTTATATTTTAATAATATCACGTTTAATTAACATTTAATTGCAAAAAATTTTTTAAAAGCGTTAAATATCTAATACTAAAGATAAATACAGTATCGTTAATAATATCTTTAATATGTATAAACAAATAATAATTTTGTTGTCATTGTACCTCTTAATCTTCATATAGAATTAGGAACTTCTAATTCAACCATTTGAGAGTCACAGTCTATTAAAACAAAAAAAAAATGTCAATAATTAATTTAAATAAATAAAAATAAAATTTTAAATAGAAAATACCTTGATCACTTTCTTTACTATTAGTAGTATTGGATGAATTAACAGGTTTTGAAAACTTCCTACTAGTATATATAGCATTAGAATTCTTTTCATATGAAGTTGAAATATTTGGTATTTCTTCATCAGCTTTCTCAAATGCTTCTTTAATTTCTTTTGCATTATAACCAAATTCTTCTTTACATCTATATTCTACAACAGAAATAAGCCAAAACTTAAATATATTGAATAACTCATTGGCTGATGGTCTTTCATTTGGATTAGCACTCATACATTTATAAGCTAATTTCTTGTAAAATTCAGGAGTTCCCTTTCCAAATTCTGGTCTGAGTCCATTACATACTGCTAATGTTAAACTTATATCATGTTTTTTATTGTAAAAAGGTGGTTTTCCAGATGATAGTTCAGCCATAATTACACCTAAACTATAAATATCAGATGAAAATGTATATGATTCTCCATTTAAAACTTCTGGTGCAATATATGGCATTACCCCATATACTTTATTATCTGGATTCTGTTCATTTGCTGGTCTAGATAATCCAAAGTCTGAAACAAAGGATAATTCATCAGTAACTCGTAAGATATTTCCACTATGAAAATCTTTATGAAAATATCCTGATCGATGTAACTTATATAAATCATTTGCTGAATCGCGTAATAATTTAAGTTTATTATTCCACAAGGTATTGTTAAAATTATTTGTAAGGATACTTCTCAAACTTCCTTTATTAGCAAATTGCATAATCATCATAAATTCGTTTGTTTCTGGGTCTTTAGTCATCGCATAAAACTTTAACCCATATGATATGCTGATACCCCAATGTATTTTAAGCTATATTCACGATAAAATTATTCTTAATATTAAACGATAAAAATGAATTAAAAATAATAAAATATACAAAACATACTTCATTTAAATAGTTGTCTGACATGATCTGTGACCCATTTAACCTTTTCAAAGCAACTTGAATAGGTACAGGTTGTCTTTTTTCATGACTATTAGCATAGTATGAATAACCATCTAACCATGTTGCAGAATACACTTTAGAAAATCCACCTTCACCAATTTCGATTATATCTGCAAGTCTATCGAACGGTACCCACCCAAGAAATACATTTCTTCTGACAACGGGGTCATATTGTGCTTCATGCATTGTGTCTTTTATAAACTTATCAATATCAGGATTTCCACTGGTCCATCCTCCCATTTTTTTAAATGGGTCGCATCTTCTACACCATAATTCTTCGGTAAAGGCTTTATTGCAATATGAACAATTTTTGGTATTTACTGTATCAGTGTCTTTGTCTGAAACATTTAATTTATTAAGTTCGGTTTCCATTTGAGTTAGTTTCGAAATTTATTCTACTAAAAAAAAAAAAAATTTTTGTTGAAAAAAAAAAAAAAAAATTAATTTTAGACAAAAATATTTTTTTTAGACGAACCTTTTATATCGTGAAAGAGTTACTAAAAAGGAATATGTTAAGGGAACATGTTAACCAAAAATAGAAGTTACTCCGATTCATTCTTTTTTTCGGGCCATATTTGTTCCGGATTTACTGATCTGCAAGTAAAGTAATATCACAATAAATAAATAAATTTTAAAAATTAAATATATGAATTAAGATAATATTGATTCAAGAATATCAATAGAAAGTATAATGGTATTAACTGATTTCAGTATCCCCTTGAAGTTGAATCTTATATCACAATTATAGTCATTTCTTTACATAAATATAAAATTTAAAATTTACGATTAAAGATTTTTCATTATTAGCAGAAAGTCCAATATCTATCACGCTAGTCATTCAAATTTTATAATTTTTTTTTTTTAAAGAAAAAGAAAAATTACAATTAAATTTCTACTAAACTAAATTTACAAAAGTCAAAAAACTTTTAGAAACTGAAATATTAAATAATAATTTATCATTACATATATAATACTTTTGAATTACATGCACATTTATTAAATTTATTAAAAAATCAATTTATCACAAGTATACATTACAAAGAAACAACTACTAAGCTATAAAAATAAACCATGATAAATAATGATGCTTGCTTAAACTTTAAAATATTTAATTTAATGTAAATATAAATGGTGCACTATAAAAAAATAAATTTCTTTAATCATCACTATTCTCGTCAACAGTAGTATCTATTATTAAAGATAAAATAAATAAATTATTAGTATGTATAAGTTAAATAAATTAAATAGTAAATGTTTAAAGTACCTCTTAATTTTATTGAATTGGAAACTTCCAAGTCAACTAGTTGAGAGTCGCAATCTATCATAACAAAAAAAAAGTTAGCGAACATTTAAAAAAATAGAATATTTTAAATAAAAAATACCTTTATTATTTTCTTCATTAATATATGATGTGATAATGGATGAATTAACAGGTTTTGGTAATAAATTACTAAATGTAAATGCTCTACTAGTATATACAGCATCTGAATTCTTTTTATACAAAGTTGAGATGTTTGGTATTTCTTTATCTGCTTCTTCAAATGCTGCTCTTATTTCTTCTCCCTTATAACCAAAATTTTCTTCTTCATCTTTCTTACCTTTATTAGAATTACACCAAAAAACAAATATATTGTACAATTCACCAGCTGTCGGTCTTTCATTTGAATTAGCATTCATACATTTATAAGCTAATTTCTTATAAAATTCAGGAGTTCCTTTTCCAAATTCTGGTCTAAGTCCACTACATATGGCTAATGCTAAACTTAAATCATGATTTTTATTATAAAAAGGTGGCTTTCCAGATGATATTTCAGCCATAACTACACCAAAACTATAAATATCAGCAGATGATGTATATTGTTCACCATTTAAGACTTCTGGTGCAATATATGGCATTACTCCATATACTTTATCATCTGATTTTTGTTCATTTGCTGATCCTGATAATCCAAAGTCTGAAATGAGAGAATAAGAATTATTAATTCGTAGGATATTTCCACTATGAAAATCTTTATGCAAATATCCTGATCTATACAAATCTCGTAAATCAATTGATGAACAATATAATAAATCAATTTTTTCTTTCATAAAATATTCTTGAAATTCTTTGAAAGACTACTTCTTAAATTTCCTTCCTCGGCAAATTGTATAATCATCATAAATTCTTTAGTTTCTAGGTCTTTAGTTAATCCAAAAAAGTTTAATCCGCCAAACTTAGTTACTTTCCATTGTATTTTAAGCTATATTTGCAATAAATTTTAAACAAAAATAATTTTAATGATTACTAATATTGAACAATTAAAATGAAATAAATTAAATTATAAATAGCATTAATAAAGTAAGAAAACTTACTTCATTTAAATATTTGTCTGACATATTTTGTGATCCATTTAACCTTTTCAAAGCAACTTTTTTAGAATAAGGTTCCCTTTTTTTACAACTTCCATCACTTTGTTTATCATATCTTGATTCACCATCAATCCAAGTTGCAGAAAACACTTTGGCAAATCCACCTTCGCCTATTTCTTTTATATCTGTAAATCTCTCATATGGTACCCATTCAGGAAATCTACCATCTTTTGCATACATTGTATCTTTTATAAATTTATCAATATCAGGATTTCCGCTGGCCACTCCTTCCATTATTCTAAGTGGGTCGCATTCTTTACACCATAATTCCTCAATAAAAGGTTTATTGCAATACGAACAATTTTTGGTATTTACTGTGTCATTATCTAAGATTTTTAATTTGTTAAATTCAGTTTCCATTAAATTATTTTTGAGAATTATTTTTACTGGAAAAAAAAAAATTATTTTAAACAGAAATATTTTTTAGACGAAATTTTTTTTACGACTATGATTATTCGTGAATGATTACTAAAAAGGAATATTTTAACCAAAAACAGAAATTTCTCCTATCATTGATTTTTTTTTCGGACCATAATTTTTCCGATTCACTGATCTGCAATGTTGCCAGACCGTAAAAATACTAAATCAAAAAAAAATAAAATAAAATCTAAAATTAAGATTTGATTATAAAATTAATAGTTAGAAATATGGATCAGAATAGCTTCCTAATTGTAAAGCAGAATTTTTTAAATGGTAAATTTGAGCTGTAATTTTGATTACTACTACATACACGTAACGCGTTGCTTCGTATCGAGACCAATGAGTTTATTTAAATAGAAAATTTTAGTATTATAATGTAATACTAAGTAAATTAAAGATGGCTACAATATTTTTTGTTTATAATTAGGAATTTAATATGATATTAATTAGTTAACAAAAAAATATTAAGATAATATGTATTAAATCATATTTATAATTTAGAATGATATAAATTATATTTACAATAATGTGGCTATTTATATTAATTGATTTGACGTTTGAGTGTAGAATGAAATTTGGATTAATTTTTTAGAAATGAAAATATTACAAATATTTTTATTAATTAATTATAATTGTTATAATTATTTCTTATTATTTTATGTTACGTCAATCTTAAACTTATAACCAACTTAGGAAAAATATTTGAAAAATTAAATGTATTAGTATCTGTTCATCTATTTATTATTATTCTTTGATGCTCATTTTACTCGATAAATTGTTAATTTAACTAAACCATTTGAATTAAATCTTTATTCAAAAATCTGGTGATTATTTAGAGAATATCGGATACGGATTTGGTTATAATAATCTATTATTAAATTAACAATTTCTTCAATTAATTAATTATAAAATATTGTAAAAATATCAATTTTATTTGATTTTTATGAATTTGAAAATAAAAACTATTTATCCAGCGTTCAATTTATTTAATTGAAAAAATAAATCTTAATCACCTTTCTATCAACCCATCAACATCGATCAATTTTCCTACATGTTCATTTGATTTTTTTAAAAAAATAATAATTTTGTAAATATAAATAATATAATATTTTATTTCTTTATTTAATAATAATAAAAATTGAAAGAAAAAGAAAAAAAAATCTGGGAAAAGAAAAAGGATAAAGAAAGAAATCGGTTTAAAAAAAGGGAAATTTCCGAAAAAAATTCTGAAAAAAAAAGGACAATAATTCGGTCCAAAAAGAAAAAAAAATAACAATATGGTCTAAAAAAAGATCAAAAAAAATTAATATAAAAAAAATCGGACTTAAAAGACCGAAATAATAGGATTATTTAATAAAAAAATTTCAGTTGGAAAAGAAAGGAACCAAAAAAAAGCTAGAAATATTTGAAAAAAAAATCAGACTAAAAAATTAAAAAAAATTCTGATTAAGGTAAAATTTCATTAACTAAAATTGGATTGGTTGATTGGAATCAAATAGTTTTTGACCATAAATAAATCAGGCGGAGGCATGTCACATATGGCAAATGTCAGACAATTTTTTTTAGTTAGGTAGTTTATCAAAAAACTTATTATAGATTTAATTACAAAATTATTAATATTGTTATGTATCTATATAATTAAAAACAATCTCACTAAAAAAAATTCACTATGTCAAAAAAAAATTTTTTACGTAAATTTATTAATCGGGAAATTTTCATGCAAATTTATTAATCAGAAACAATATCATTGACTAAAAAAATCTCACTAAACATCGAAAAGCCGTAGGATATAGTTCTAATCTGATTATAGTCTTGATCCAAAAAAGAATAAACAATATTTTTTGGGTTAAAAAAACATTCCAAAAATTTTGATAAATTCTGATTAAAAAAATAAATAAAAAAATAAAAAAAAAGAATAAGAAATAATTTTGGTTAACCGAAAGAAAGAATAATAATAAAAAGAGTGATAAAAAAATTGATAAAAAAGACTAAAATGGTAGTTTCGGTCTTTACTGAAAAATAAAAAAAACATTATTATTATAGAAATGGATAGTCAAGAGAGAAGAAATAAAATGCAATTAATAAGAAAAATTATACTTTTTTTGTTAGTATCAGAATAAAAAAAAATCTAATTAAAATTTTAATTAACCGGAAATGTATTAGTTTAAAGATTGGTTATCGTTGTCAAGAAGGTCAATCAAATTTTCTTAATTATGATAATATAAATTAATAATTCTTGTAACTTAAATAAACTTATTCTAATTTTCTTGACAAACTTTGATATTTTAAATTTCCAACAATAACATAAACAACATATTAATAAATTGTATTAAATTAATAAAGTTACATATATCCCAAAAGGCTCTTCAAGAAAATTCTTTTTGTTATTAATATGGGATAATACATTCCGACAAAGAATTTCTGGATTTGCTTATAATACTCTCTTTTTTAATACATTTTATACCGAATAGTTGCTTCTTCAAAATTCGTATATAAATATCATAATGGCGACATTAACCTAAATAATATTGATTTCAAAGAATATCACTAGAAAATGTAATAGTATTAGCTGATGTTAGTATTCCTTGAAATTAAATCTTATAAAATATTACATTCATAATCATTTCTTTCCATAAATAATAAGCTTTAAAAATTTACGACCTATTTTTCATTATTAGCAGAAAGTCCAATACCGTCACGTTTAAGTCATTCAAAATTTTATAAAAAAAAAGAATAATTACTACTAAATTTCCACCAAACGAAACTTTTCAAAACTCAATAAACTTAAGGAACCGAAATATTAAATAATAATTTATCATTACATATATAATACTTTGAATTACGTGTATATTTATTAAATTTAATTAAGTATACATTACAAACTATAAAATAAACGGATAAACATGTTCATAACCTTTAATCTACCTGTTTTGATTTAACATAAATAATAATAAAGGTAAACTATAAATGAAATACATACAAATATTTAATTTTTTTAATCATCATCACTATTTTCGTCAACAGTAGTATCTATTATTTAAAGATAAAATAAATAAATTATTAATAAGTTAAATAAATTAAATAGTAAAATGTTTCAAGTACCTCTTAATTGTATTGAATTGGAAACTTCCAAGTCAACTAGTTGAGAGTCGCAATCTATCATAACAAAAAAAAAGTTAGTAAACATTTAAAAAAATAGAATACTTTAAATAAAAAATACCTTTATTATTTTCTTCATTAATATATGATGTGATTATAGACGAATTAATAGGTTTTGGTAATAAATTACTAAATGTAAATGCTCTACTAGTATATACAGCATCTGAATTCTTTTTATACAAAGTTGAGATGTTTGGTATTTCTTTATCTGCTTCTTCAAATGCTAAACCAAATTCATCTCTCACACTTTCAAGAGAATCAAACCAAAATTCAATCATATCGAATAATTCTTTAGCTGTTGGTCTTTCATTTGAATTAGCATTCATACATTTATAAGCTAATTTCTTATAAAATTCAGGAGTTCCTTTTCCAAATTCTGGTCTAAGTCCATTACATATGGCTAATGCTAAACTTAAATCATGTTTTTTATCATAAAAAGGTGGCTTTCCAGATGATATTTCAGCCATAACTACACCAAAACTATAAATATCAGCAGATGATGTATATTGTTCACCATTTAAGACTTCTGGTGCAATATATGGCATTACTCCATATACTTTATCATCTGATTTTTGTTCATTTGCTGGCCCTGATAATCCAAAGTCTGAAATAAGAGATAAAGTAGTATTAATTCGTAAGATATTTCCACTATGAAAATCTTTATGTAAATATCCTGATTCATGCAAATCTCGTAAATCAAGTGATGAATCATATAATAATTCAATTTTTTCTTTCCATAAAATATTCTTGAAATTATTTGAAAGACTACTTCTCAAATTTCCTCCCTCAGCAAATTGTATAATAATCATAAATTCTTTAGTTTCTGGGTCTTTAGTTAATCCATAAAACTCTAATCCTTCAAACTTAGTTACTTCCCATTGTATTTTAAGCTATATTTGCAATAAAATTTAAATAAAATAATTTAATGATTGAACAATAAAAATGAAATAAATTAAGTTATAAATAGCACTAATAAAGTAAGAAAACTTACTTAATTTAAATATTTGTCCGACATATTTTGTGATCCATTTAACCTTTTCAAAGCAACTTTTCCAGGTTTAGGTTCTCTTTTTTTCAAACTTCCATCACTTTGTTTATCATATTTTGATACACCATCAATCCAAGTTGCAGAAAACACTTTAGCAAATCCACCTTCGCCAATTTCTTTTATATCTGTAAATCTCTCATATGGTACCCATTCAAGAAATTTATAACCTCGACCTTTTGCATCATATATTGTATTTTTTATAAATCTATCAATATCGGGATTTCCACTGGCCACTCCTTCCATTATTCTATATGGGTCGCATTCTTTGCACCATAATTCCTCAGTAAAAGGTTTATTGCAATACGAACAATTTTTGGTATTTACTGTGTCATTATCTAAGATTTTTAATTTGTCAAATTCAGTATACATTGGATTATTTTTTAGAATTATTTTTACTGGAAAAAAAATTATTTTAAAATGGAATATTTTTTTTTAGACGAAATTTTTTTTTCGACCAATAATTATTTTGTGAATGATTTCTAAAAAGGAATATTTTAACCAAAAATAGAAATTTCTCCGATCATTGATTTTTTTTCGGACCATAATTTTTCCGGATTCACTGATCTGCAATTTTTGCCACCATTAAATTTTAAGACTCGACATTTCCGCAATTAAGTAAAAATATTAAATCATAAAAAAATTATTATGAATTAAGAATTGATTATAAAATTAATACTTACAATTTGTCACAATAGTTTCCTAATTGTAAAGCAGAATTTGTTTAAATGATAAATTTGAGCTGTAATTTTGATTACGTACACTAAATGGCAAAAATAACCTTTCTAAAATCATTATATTTCCGAATAAGAAGTAATAATAATTTTTTGATGTTTAAGTTGAAAAAGAATTACTAAAACTTATAGTGAGCTAATTACAATCAATTTATTATAACCATATTATTAATCTCCTTTAGATTCGTAAGTCGTAACTAGTAAATATAGATTGTCTATTTTTTGTATTAAAAAGCATCTGTAAAAAATATATAATCTATATCAGATATTATGTTTGATTGAATTAAGTATAAACCGATATATTGCAAATTTTGTATTTGAATATTTAAAAAAGGTTCATAATTATTTTACAGTAGAAATTATCATCAATCTAAAATCATATAATTTGAAATAATTTTTCGCTAATTTGACTTTTTCAAAAATTGTAAAGAAATGTGTATTATTAATATCCAAAATTTATTTATTATATAAGTTAATGAAAATTTTTTTTGATATATAACTTAAATAAACTTACTCAAATATTCATAACAAATTTTAATATTTTAAATTTCCAACAATAACATAAGCAACATATAAATAAATTGGTATTAGCTCATCAAGGAAATTCTTTTCGTTACCAGTACATTCCGATAAGATTAGCAAATGCCTACGTAAAATATTTAAAATCTACTAGTTAATTTTAAGTTAATATGATCTCTAATGCCAAACCAAATTAAGCTCCTAATCGATCTCCTATCGTACTAAATTTCACTCATGAATACTTTCACCTGAACATGAAGCTAAATATCACTATTATACAATGTTAGTAGTTATTCTTTTTTAATAGAATTTTACCGTAGACATTAAAAGCGTCTGCTTTGCTTTTTACAAAAAAAAAAAAGCGTTCAAAATTTTTTTATTCAAACATCAAGTTCGTGACGTTTGATATTATGACGTTTAACATAATGTTATACAAACGAGTAATTTAAATCAAAACCATTTAACGTTAACCTGGCCAACCCCTATTGTTACATTTCACAGATCATTTCCATATTATTGGATAATTAAATTGTGTGTGGGTAAAAAAAATCGATGTTCAATTAGTAATATTATGTGGTTGCATGTCGTTACTCTGTGTTATGTTACCTTATGTAGAAAAGTACATTTTCAACTGATTTTCTTCTGTATGGCGTAACCTTCATTAAAAAGAAAAAAAAAAGAGATTTTATGCAATACTTAACGAAATATTTACAAAAAATTCTTAATAATTTTAAAACTTAACTTGCAAATTGTATAATTTCCATGATTTCAAGATTAAAACATTTCTACGATAAAAGAAAAATAAAAAAATTTGTGAAAAAAAAATTGGCCCATAAAAAAAATTAGATGCGAGTCGGACGCCGATCTACATAATCTACATAGTTTCGGAAAAGTCTAAATTAACTTTTAGTTTTGCTAAGCCCATCACTTATTAAGGTTAGCCGATTCATTACGATAGAAATGTTTGTGACACGATCGTAAAATGAAAAAAAATTTAAAATTTTAAAAAAAAAAAAAAAAAAGAAATACATAATATTAAAAATGTCTTGTCAACTTCCTGCTGATTGTCTTAACGAAATTTTTGAATATTTAGAAAAAGATAAAGTCACTTTACATTCATGTTTATTGGTTAATCGACTTTGGTGTGAAATTTCAGTAAGAATATTATGGAGAAATATTTGGATTCCAGTTGGATACGAACATCGATTGAAAGTTGAAACATCAATTCTTAATACATTAATCGCTTGTCTTCCTAATAAATCTAAAACTCATTTATTAGAGAAAGGAATTCTTAATTCTACACAAATATCAAAAAGTTGTTTCTTTGATTATCCATCATTTTGTAAAGTACTTTCAATTCATATGATTGGACAAATGATTATTGATGTTTTTAAAAATCAAAAATATTTAGCAAAAGAAATAATGAAAATGTTTATGACAAGAAGTTATTTAAAAAAATTATCATATTATAATAATCCAAATACATTAAATTTATCATTTATAAGATACCCAAGAGCAAAAGATTGTTTTACTAGATTAACCAAATTAACATGTAGTTCAGATATTAAATCAGTATTTTTTTATAAATTATCACAAATAAGTTTTAATATTCAATCATTAACTATAGAATTTAATGGTACAATTTCTGAAGATTTAAAAAATTTAATTATTTCACAAAATAATTTAAAAAATTTATCATTATCACAACCATTTTTTAGTATGACAGATTGGTCAGATATTATACCATCATTAATTAAACATTCAAATACTATAATTAAATTAAAAATTTATTGGGAAGCTTGTAATTTATTAATTAGAACAAAAAAATTATCATTTATTACAAAATTTTTAAATTTACAAGAACTTGTTTTATCATTTCAAAGGAATGATCATTTTGATGAAATTAATAATATTTTACAATATAGTATTTTTCCTCATTTACAAATTTTAAAATTTCCTTATAGATATCCTAAAGTTGATATTTTAATTAAATTTTTAAAAAATAATGGTAAAAATTTAAAAGAATTTTATATTAATTATACTTTACCTATTTTACCTGTTAATGATTTATTAAATTTAAAAATTTCAAGATATTGTCCTAATTTAAAATTATTATCAACTTTATTTAAAAAAGTTGAATCTTTAAAAATATTTTTTAATAGATGTCAACAATTAGAATGTTTTGAAACTCATTATAATTATGGTTTAAGTGAAAGAGATATTTTAGGTGCTTTAGCTGAATATTCTCCTAAAAATTTTTTTAAATTAAAATTATTATATTATTCTTATTCTCAATTAACTCCTGATGATTTAGAAGAATTTTTTATTAATTGGAAAAATCGTTTACAACAAAAATCTTTTTATTTTACTATGATTGGAAAATTTAATAATATTGATGATTCTTATATTAATAGATTAAAAAATGATGAAAATATGAAAATGATTGAAAAATATAAAAAATTGGGAATTATTAAAAAATTTGAAATTATAAATCATTAAACTAGATTATATTATTTTTAGGAATTATTTGATGTATTTGAATAATTTAAATAAATAAATAAAATAATAATAATAAATAAATCACATATGGCGTTATAGCGTGTAGTAAATCGTAAGAAATCGGGTATAGTGAGGTATGTAGTGATATGAGCATTGGCCCAATAATTCTGATTTGAATCACTGTGATAGTTTCCTATACACCTTGTTAAACCTTGCTAAACTTTCTTATCCCCTGATACAATTTGTGTACCCGTTACCTGTCAATGTTTACCGAAGCGTCAAGAACCAATAGCTGTACACCTAGAATATGTTGATCAGCAGATGCAAGAATGCACAAGATTTTGAAACAATTGGATATTACAAATGTACAAAATGATTTGCCGCACATATGTTAAACATGTTCTGTTATACCAAAATACCAATTTACTGACGGATATTTACCCTATTTATCTGTTCCATGGTACTGTACTTACAAACCCAATGTTGAGTAAATAACTGGAAATATGGTTTGATGGAATAACAGTTTCATACTAATACAACCATACGCACTACGCACCAATTATTTTATACCATGGTCAAAATTTCAATTTTGAGCGTTCAATTTGCACTAATTATATTAAAGAAAATTATAACCGATTCCAAAGTTTAATTGAAAATTGTTTGTTTTGTTTTTTCGTGTTCTCAAAAAAAGTTTTTTTTTTTTTTTGTTTCACCGGAATATGAAAGAAATGGATCCATAAAGATATTTAATATTTAGTCGAGACAACTTACTTTATAATTTGTATGTATGAAGGAAACTTGTATGATTAAGTTTTTTGTTAATAAATTATAAATTGTCTATTTTAACTTTACCAATATGAGGTAAATTATTTTTATCTATATTCCAGTTACTGTTTCGGGTTTCGACGGTAATTTTCCGAGGTTTGAAAATTAGTCTTAACATATATTTTTTACGTTACGCATTTTTAGTTAGCTTAATATTACGTAAAACAAGTTTTTAATAATAAAATTTTTGATTAATTTAAAGTTGTACTGTAAATATCGGTATCTGAAATATTTAACTTGTAGGAAAAAAGAATTACCTCGTTACACATTTAAAATGTATTAAAATATCGCAGATTTCGATTTACTTTTATTTACGATATTAATTAAAATCGTGATTAAATCGATTATGCATAAAATCATGCATTTGCTTCTGCATTACTTAATATTATGTTACTTTCTTCCACACTGAATGGCTTGGTCCAATGGTTATTGAGGTCAGTGTTACAATGAACATAACAGATGATAAATACATACAGTATATATATAAAAGAAGTAATGATGATTAACTATGAATTCAGAAAAAGGTATTTAAGATATTCTATAGCTTGTTTTCCTTTCTTGGTTTTTTCCTCTATTCTATTCTTTTTTTTTTTTAAAAAAAAAAAAACAAAAAAAGATACTACTAATATTTTCTAAAATAATTATATCGAAGAAACTAATTAAAATATTCATCACTTGTCATATTATTCGTTATTCGTTTGTTTTTTATAACATTTTCCTTTTAAAAATGAACTCTCTCGAACTATTTTTTGAAATTTTATACCAATATGAAATGACTAAACGAGATAATCAGAGGACCGGAAATACTGAAGTGGTTGAATCCCCTACACTTGATATGAACTTTGATTTTGCTGATGCTCCCCCAGCGATCGTAAATAAACCAAATAATAATGAAGAGAGAGATAATGAGAAGGAGAATGAAAAACCAAAAAAATCATCTATTCGCAAAGTAAATCATCCAAGATCAATTAAGAAAGAACCCGTCAAAGTGGAAAAAGTCGAACAACCAATATTGTCAAAACGGATGAAAAGAATGAAGGATAATTTACGTATTGATATGGTGGGTTATGAACAAAAGAATTATGTTACTCGTTCGTATCCCAAAAAAAGAAGAAAATGAAAAGAATGTGCTATAGAATAAATATTCGGAAAAAAATACGTCCTATGATGTTTTTTTTTTTTATGAGAATACTTTTTAATATAATTATATTCTCTTAGACTTAGACTTAATATGATATGATCGTATAAAATATAAAATAAATACATATATATTTTTTTACTAACTAATATTCTATATGATTTTTAATTGATTTAGTATAATTGATAGTTTATATAAAAAATTATAAATCAAAGTATAATTTCCAATCACTTTAATTTAGCTCTATATAAGTTTATGTTTGATCGACTAAAAGATTTGATTCTTTTAATTAATTTTATTAGTACTTTGTGACATAGTACAGTATATAAATATTTACGTGATATTTACTTATTTTAATATAATAATTAATTTTCTTTTACATAGTATGTTATTCCTCAGGTGTCGATTTGTGTCAGTTGATGGCTGACGTGCGTCAGATACCTGACGCGCGTCACCTGTCACATAACATTAAACATTAAATTTTCCAGTCTTAATAAATTCTTATTATTAAATAAATTTATTTATCTCATTAAAAATATGTAATCCTAAAATGTTAAATTGATTAGACTCAAATCCATGACAAATAATTTTCAAGTAAATTTTACAATATACTGTATATAAATTTCACGAGTATGAAATTTTCATAATATGTATAATTCATTGTGATATATAAGTTTACTCATAGAATAAAAACCGATTTCATTAATAAAAGAAGTTTTTATTATAGAAGACTTTATTATGTGTTACAGCTTACAAGTGACATGCGTCAGTTATCAACTGACGCAAATCGACACCCGAGGTACAACATTTATAATTATATGGATAATTATAAAAGTAGAGTTAACCTCGCAATTGAAATTTTTAATTATCAAGTAACCTCTAAATGTGATAATGTAGCACCAGACGAAGTTGTTAAGATCATAAAAGATTATAGAGCGAAAAAAAAGATGATCGAGTACGCTCCTTGTCAAGCATCCAAAAACGAGTCCGGTGATGCATCGAAAGTGAGAGACAAATTAGAGGAATTAGAGAAGATTTTTATGCAAACCTCTAATGATATGGAATGGGAAAAAATTAATCGAGATGCCTTGCGATTGATAAAGAATGAACACGGATTAAATGAGCCAGGACAAGTTAAAAGCTGTGCTATGAAGTCGTATAATTTCATGATGCTGGGTCAGAGAGTCATCAGTATGGAGGAACAAAGCGATATAATGCGCGAATACACCACACTTAACGATGATTTCAAAAAAAGACTAAAGGACGAAAATCGCAAGACAGACGAAAAAGAAATAGGAGAGAAACGCCCGATCTTAGAGTCGCCACCGCCGAGAGAATTGAAGAAGGAAGAAGTAATAAAAAAAGTGAAGAAGCAAGGATAAATAGAGGGGGGGACGGATATTAAAGGAAGGAATTTTGCATCTTAAAAACCGAAGTCACGTGATTACACGTATAAAATTTACCGATAAAAAATTTCATTTAGATGCAAACGAGATATAGTATAAAATTTAGATTAGAACTAACTTTTTCTTTTTGTAGGGACAAACTTGATGAGGGAAGAAGTTGGGATAATAGATACTGGACGAGGGGCTGTTGGGCTCCTTCTGATATTTTCAGCTTAGGTTTCAGTTTTTTATAACAAATTTTCTCGTAAATTTTTCTCTGCATTGCATTAATTAGTGGATAGTATTTTAGTTAGGTCCAGATTAGTTTAGTTTGTAACGGGTTTGTTTTTTTATTTATTTCTTATTTTTGTTTTATTTGTTTTTAGGATAGATTGAACTCTGTTATAGAGCCGTATCGTGTTTGCACGTGCGGCTCTAGGTATTTCGTTTTAGGATATCTATCTTTAATAAAGAGATGCGTTACAGTTTAAAAAAAAAAAAATCTTTAATTATTAAAAATGCTATTATTTTTTATTTCGTTATATTATTTATTTATCGAAATAAATGATTACAAATGTTTTATTTTATATTTTTATTATTGAATTTCCAAATTGATTTCTTAGAGAATTGTAATAGCGATGGTCAAACGTTAGAACTTTAATTGTATTTTATACAGTCTAATATGAATTGATAATAGTTTATTTTGCAGTTTTAAAATACTATTTAACCAATACTTTCTTTATATTTATCAATAGAGTTAACTTCATTAAAACTTTATTTCTATAAATTTTATGACTCGATAAATTTTATAAATGTTATTTATTGAGTAATAGTTGTTTCACGGGAAGCCGCAGATATTCATTGATCATCACGAATTATTATTACACAAGTGGTTCTATATTGACACACGCTATATAATAAAGCTCATACATAACATGTACGGAATTATCTTATCGAATATATTCCACTATTAGAAAAATATGAAAATAAATTTCGTATAGCTCCAGTCTCATAAATCTCTAAAGTTCTGTATACCAAACTTTCTCTATACTCGTTAATATCTCTTTATACTATCGTTCATATCCACCTATAATTAAGGTCTAAAATAAAATTCCTTTCACCGTAGATTACTGTAGCTTTATCAGGTCCTATGATCTCTCTCTTTATTTTATTATCATGCAAACAATGTTTACTTATCTTGGCTAATCCCTGAGCTTTTCATACGCGATAACCAAGTATATATCTTAATATAGATCTCCCGAACGAATTTAGCAAATTCTTTTTTTTATATCTTTATCATGGAGATTACATTTCGTGGTATATTTTGACGTTCTTGAAGATCGAAATGCGGGCAGCGGGCTTCGTAATGTGATAAGTCGTCGATCATCAACTCCATAAATTCGATAGTAATTAATTTCATAGTTATTACTGCTTCATCAGAATCGTTTAACTTGAAACAAATACTAATCACTAATTTTTTGACGATTCAAGATTTATTCTGAATACTATCATAACTTATTTATTTATCTTCGCAATACTAGCTTATATTGTAGTTAAAGAAATCGCTCATCGTATTATAGCTTATAGATAAGTAATATAAAAACTTAATGATTATTTATATTTGAAATACATCATATGTAAGATATTCATGCTTGTCTTTTATTTAAATATTTAATTTTTTTAATTATCAACCGTATTTTCATTGTTAATGCATAAATTGAATAGTAAATTATATTATAATACCTTTTAATTGTATTGAGTTAGGAATTTCCGAACCAATTAATTTAGTTTCATAATCTATTAAAACTGAACAACAAAAAATTAGGCAATAATTATTTTTAAAAAAAAAAGTTTTTAAAATAGAAAATACCTACCTTTATTTACAGGTTCCGGTAATAAATTATTAAATGTAAATGCTCTACTAGTATACATTGCAGAAACCCGTGATTTGTTACCATGCAGTTAAGAAATCGCCATCAAATCACAATGATCTATTGACCAACATGTGACGACATGGTATCAAACGATCTCATGAAATTTTCGATAACATATCTTTACGAAGTTGTAAAATGCTATTAAATAGGTGGTGAATAGGCGGTGAATAGGTGGTGAATAGATGGTAATTGTCATCAAAATTTAGTCGAAAAAACCAATTCAAGATAAGTTTTCGATGCATTAAATATTACTTGACAATTTTTTATTTAATCAATATTAATCTTAATAAAACCTTATAAAAATTCGGGTCAAAATTAATTATTCGACCCAAATTAGTAATGATCTATTATTTGATCTTGCATTCTTGCGGGTAAAATTTTTGCCGATTGATCATGTGAATCATCACGTTTTTGAACAATGGCAAAATTAAACTTTTTTTTACCTTTTTTTAGACTCTTTCATCCCCTTCCTTTCGTACTTCCTTTTCACTTTCGTTCTTCCCTTTCCCTTTCGTTCTCCCCTTCCTTTTCTATCTTTTTCTCACACCTTTTCCCGCCTTTTTTTAGACTCTTTCATCTCCTTCCCTTTCGTCCTTCCCCTTCCCTTTC